TGGGTGTGGATAGGGGAGAGCAGAGTAGGTCAAAGGTAACTTGTGGAAGAGTGGAGACGGGGATGGAGAAAGGTGGGTAGGGTGGGTGCATTTACTGGAGATTCTCCAGATATTGGCTGTAGTTCTGAGTTGGTCATCCTCATGGTGTGTATGTGTGTGTGTGTGTCAGTGTGTAGTTGGGGGGGCAGCAAGAAAAAGAAGCTAACTGTGGGTGATGTTGGCATATATGTGTATGGGAGAGAGACTCTGGGTGACAATTATTGGCCAGTGTGAGTACATCTGTGAGGCTGTTTGGGTGAGTGGTGTGTGTGTACTTGCGTATACTTGGGCAGGACTGGATGAATTATCTTTATCTATGTATGTGTGTGTTCAGGAAAGAGCAGGAGAGACCGAGAGACAAACTGCATGACATAATGATTCCAAAAAGACGTTTGTGTGTCCTCTTGTGTATAGGAAAGACTTTGGTGTTGCTGTGCTGTTCAAGGTTATGTACACTGTGAGACTGAGCTGGATGTCCATATGGGTTTGAGAGTAAGAAACAAAGAATTCCACGAAGCGGCATTGAGGCTGAATGATGAATGTATAGCACTTTGAGACTCTATGACAGTGTGTGTGTCTGCGTGTGTGTGTGTGTATGTAAGGGAAAGAGGTAGCCAGACACCACTAGGTATTCAAGACTGCTTGGATGTCTGGTGTATGGAACGCACGTATATGTGTATGAAGGCACGCGTATAGGAAACAGACAAGACTCTGTGACTGATGTGCGTGAACATCATGCGCTCATGCATCACAGAAGAGAAAGAGGCCAACAGGCAGACCCAGGTGTCAGTATGTAAGATTGCTTGGAGGACTGATATATCTGTGTGTGTTTCTGAGTGTATGTATTACAGCCAGACAAAGAAGACTCTATGAAGACTTGCTGTGGTGAGGCTGATTTGGGCATGGCAGGTGTGTGTACGTGTGTGTGTCTCTCCCTGGGTGGGACTCTGTCTGCAGGGCCAGTTGGCTCTCTGGTCTGTAAAAGGTCTGGAGTGTGCACCAGGCTGCATGTGCCTGCGTGTCTGGGACACTGCGGGGTGAGTGTCCAGTGTCCTGTGGGCATTTCAGTGCAGCATGCTGATGTTACCACTCTGATTACTCCCTTGTCATCTCTCAGCCTGGCATGCCAGTCTTGCTGTATGTCTGAGTGTCACTGTCTTGAGTCACTTGTGTAGTTGACATCCCCCATCTCCTTTGGGCTACTGTTCCTCACTCTTACTCCCCTCCACCCCAGAACAATGGCTTGGCCTGAGCCAAGCGTGAGTCAGCGTGCAGGCTGCCTTCGTCTGGTTGTAAATAGGAAAGGGTGTGGGTCAGGGTGGGAACTGGGGGGTGGGGTGGCCCCAGGGAGAGCCCAGCTGAAGTGGCCAGGCTCTCCATCTCTGTGAGGCTTCCTTCCAGCTCAGGGAGCCTGTGATCTCACATTCCCTTGTGGTTCTTAACCAGGGTCCACAGGGGCTTTGGGGGACTCAGTTAAACCCTGAAAGAATGGCTAATAATAACAGCTGGTGCTTACATAACACCAATAGCCAGGCACAATTCTAAGCACTTTACATATATTTGTTCACTTTAATATATGAGACAGGCGACATCATTATTCTTGATTTACTGCTAAGGACACTAAGTCACAGAGGTCTGGGGTTTGTCCAAGTTCCCTCAGCCAGCAGTGAAAGATCAGGGTTTCGAGCCCCAGGTGTCTGGCTTCAGGGTCTGGGCTTTTAACCACTGAGCCACACAGTGCTCAGTTTGGGGTGTGTGGAGTGTGTGTGTTGGGGAAAGGCATACAATGACGGCAATTTTGCTTTTGTGTTTTTGATAGTAAAAAGAATACATATGAATTTATTAAGTAGTCACTTATGATTTGGTACTTCACTGCAAATGTGTTATTAATCAATAAAAAATTTTTTTAAAGAGTGTGTGTCTGTTTTTCTTCTGGGGCTCAGGTCCAGGGCTTCAGGCAGGTGCTCAAAATCGGAAGGAGTGCTAGAATCACTAAACTGTCTGGTGAGCCACACAGGAGACTATGTGCCTTTGGGCAGGTATCTGCCTTTTTCTGGGTCTTAGTTTCTCCGTGTATGACCCAGAAGGATTGAATCTGGTGTTTGGGGTTTCCTGTACCAAGGAGGGGACACCCTCTGTGTGTTCTGCTCCTCCCTTCGGGTTAAAGGCCAGGTAGATTTTTGTTTCATGTAGTAGACACGTAAGTGCAGTGTGTGTGTCTGCATGTGTGTGTATGTCTTTGTGTTTGAATGTGTGAGCCGACCAGGCCCAGAGGACCCTTTCAATTTCTCCATTGTCCTTTCTCACCTGTTCTTTTATGCCTCAGCCACACTCCCCCTCTTCCCTAGCCTTTGAACATGCTACTTCATCTCTCTGAAGCACCCTTCACTGCTCTTTACCCAGCTCATTCTTACTTATTGTTCTGGCCTCTTCCTCTAGGAAGCCCTTCCTGACCTCCGCCAGGCTGGGTCGGGTGCCCTGTCCGGGCTCCCTCCATCCTCTGGGCTTCCCCATCCCAGCCCTGACCACTCTAGGACATCACTGGTGTTTGGTTGATCTCCCCTACTGGGATGTGAGATCTGTGAGGACCAGACTGGGGTGTCTCAGTCACTGCTGTGTCCCTATCTCTGTCCAGCAGGGCACTGGCATAGAGAAGATGCTCAGAGAATATATGTTGAATGAATGAATGAAAGGTGTCAGCCAGGAGCAGAGGAACACATGCTCAAGCAGTAGGACCACCATTTCTTATGTTCCTGTGGGTCCTAGGAAGTCCTAGGGACAGGACTGGGACTTTGGGGCCTGTGGCCTGCATCTCTGAGTTAGAAGCCAGCACATGCCTATGATCTGAAAATTCTAATTCAGGGGTGGGGAGTGGGGCTGGCTGCACATCCAGGGGCTGGGGAGAGATGCTGGCTCACATTGCTTGTTTGAACACTGGCCCAGGAGAGCCAAGGACTGTCCCGTCCTCTGGGGTTCTCAGCTGCCTGGTCTGTGGGGTGTGTCACTGAGATGGAAGGGGATGACGTGTGTCATGTCACAGAATGAGATCCAGGGGCAAGGAACCAAGTGTCCTTAGATGAATGTCCCAAGCAGAAGTCTCATCCGTATCTTGTGGGCTAGAAGGGTGCGGGGGAAACTGGGCCAGGGTGGATGAGAGAAGGGGGTTGGCCAGGTTCCCTGGACTGTTCTCTAAACCTCTTGCCAAAGCTGCTTAGTGAGATGGGAGGCAGGGCGGTGGAGGGAGGAGAGAGAGAGAGAAAGAGAGACTGAGAGAGAGAGAGAGAATATGAATTTGTCCTGACCCTGGGCTCTAGCTCTGGTGTTTGACCTAAAAAATCCAAGGGGATTAAGGATGAACTAGAACCAGCGCTGGACCAAAGATGCAATGCAGGGAGCCTTCCCCGGATTCCTAGATGTCAAAGCTCAGGCATTGGTCTGGGGAGGGAGATAGACACTGAGAGGGATGAGAGAGAGCAGAGGGGCCTTGAAAATTTTATGGTTGGAGGGAGGGAGACAGAACTGGAGGAGAGGCAGAAAAGTGGCTGGATTTGGAGAGAGGAAAAAAAAAGAGGAAACTCAGACTTAGGGAAAAAAGAGAAACAAGAAGGTAGAAATGGGCAAGTAAGGGAGGCAAGAAATAAGGGATGATCCAGGTAGAGGATGGAAAGGTGCTACTAAATACTGGGTGACTGAACAGAGAGTTGGGAGAGCAAGAGAAAGAAAATGTGAGAATCTGAGAGTCGGAGGGGAAGGAAAAGATGGAGAGAGATGGGAAGACAGAGAGGGAAGGGAAGAGGAGAGGAGGGAGAGGGCAAAGCAGAGACAGACAGAATGTCTGGGAGACTCAGAGGACAGAGATGGGGGATGTCCAAACAGAACCAGTGAGCCAGAGCCAAAAGCAGAGTAGGATGGGAATGGAGACTAAAGGGAAAAGAGATGGGAAAGTCAGAAGCAGAAGGAGAGAAACACAGAAAGCATGACACAGACAGAAAACCAGTGCGACTCAGACTGGGCAAGATGGGGTGACAGAGAAATCCAAAAGGAAAGAGTGAGGGTCTGTGTAACATGGATGGCTGGCCCCCCACAGCCCTAAGGGGCACCCTAACACCTGCCTCCCTGGCCCCCCCCAGCTCCTCCAACTGACCCAAAGGGGCAGGTGTGTGGGAAGGGGCACATCTGCCAGCACATCATGCAAATGAGCTCATGAATATGCAGCAGCCCTATTGTCTTGTGCTGCCCCCACCCCCATCTGCTGGGGCCTGGCCCCAGGGGGCCAAGGGTAGCTCAGCCCCCTTAGAGGGAGGGGAGGCCCCCTACCACTCTCACTGCCCCTAGGGCAGCCCTTCCCCCTCCTGGAGGCCCAGGTGGGTGGGATGGGAGGCCTGGGGAAGAGGACCGGGCTGCGGCTCACCCGGATAGAAGTCTTTGGACTTGGAGAGCTTGATGGTGGCTCCGGTCTCCTTCTGCAGCTGCACGATGGTCTGCCCGCCCTTGCCAATGATGGAGCCCGCCGCGTAGCTGGGGATCAGCACCTTCAGGAAGTATTCCCCTTCCTCTGCAGGGGCACACAGTGGGGAGGGAGGTCAGGGGAGAGGGGTCTTCACCTTTGGATGGTACTCCAGGGAGGGAGGCTGGGAAACCACGGGGATCACAGTAACATATAACAGTAATGACCAAGAGAATAGCAGTAAGGAAAATAATACATGTAATGATCTTCCTTCCTTCCTTCCTTCCTTCCTTCATTCATTCATTCCACCAATAGTTACTGAGCACCTGCTACGTGCTTGGCACCGTTCTACTGAAACATCCATGAAGAAAACAGACAAAGCTCCCTGATTTCGCAAATAAGGCCAAATGAGTGTCAGTGTTTCAGCCAAGAGCTCACACAGCTACATTCTTCTAGAGGGGGGAAGACGGACAGTATGCAGTATGTTTCTTTGGATGGTACTAAGAAAACAAAATGAGGCAGGAAAGAGGATGGGGAGTGTAAGGGGCTGTACTGTCAGATCCGGTAGCCAGGAAAGCCCTTCCCAGGAACGTGGCATTCTTTGTTTATCAAACTCTTCTAGAGCGCCTGATATGCGCCAGACTCTGCTTCAAGTACTTTATGAATATGAGTTCTTTTAATTTTCACACTGATGCTTACGAGGGAGGGCTTAAAAACCCACTCTACAGATGAGGAAACAAAGGTGAAGAAACTGCTCCTGCTCACATAGCTAGTAGGTGGCAGGGTTGAGATCTGAACCCAACCTGGCTCCAGAGTTCATGCTCTGAACCATTACAATATCCTGCCTCCCGGCTGTGGAGGAGGGAACAGAACCCTGTGGCTCTGTGGAGAAAGAGCAAGTGCAAAGGCCCTGGGGTGGAATTGTGCCTGCGTTGTTTGAGTGGGAGTGCGGCTTTGGCTGACAGAGGATGAAAGGGAGGAGATGCAGGCTTAGAGGGGTTGATATAGTGGTGGGGCATCCTGGCTTCTAGGCCAAAGTGAAGTCTCTAGGTTTTATTCCAAGTGAGGTAGAGGCTACGGGAAGGCCCTGAGCAGAGGAGGGATGTGATCTGACTTAGGTTTTAAGCTCCCTCTGAGGGCCATGAGGGGAGGAGACTGTGAGAAGCACAGGTGGAAGAGCTGGGAGGCCAGTGAGGAGGCAACTGCAGTGGTCCAGTTGGGAGGTGATGGTGGTCTGATTGGTGGAAAACAGCGAGCAGAGAGCAGGGAAGAGGGCTGGACTCTGGGATGCTCTCAACCCTCACTACTGACCCGCTGCTGTGCTGTGTGCTTGCCAACTTGATCTAATCCATTCCTCAAGACCGCCCAGTGAGGTGAGTAGAATGAGCTCCATTTTAACATAAGGGGAGAGGAAACGGATGAAGCTTAGTGTTAGAGCACATGCTTAGCATGCACGAGGTCCTGGGTTCAATCCCCAGTGCCTCTATTAAAGTAAATAAATAAATAAACCTAACCGCCACCCCCTACCCCCGCAAAAAGTCTAACATAAGGGTAAACTGACACACAGAAAAGTAAAGGTACCAGCCCTAGGACACCAAGACAGTGGCTGGCCTGAGATTCAAATGCAATTCTGATTCAGTCTTGGCTGGCCCATGCTTAACACTCTTCCCTGCTGGCGGCTAAAGTCCAACCTGCTCAGTCCTAGAGGTGGTGAGGTGGCACCACGGGTCGTTAATGGGGCTTCGGTCATTCTTTGCAGACCAATTTTCTCGGTCACGTGTAAAGCGCTTTGTTCATGAAGTCTCAAGGCAAGTACCTAACCTTTTCTACCTTCTAACCAAGCTGTTGCCCTTAAGTCTTCACAGGGTGGAAATTCAGGAGCCTTCTGAGTCTAAGACCCTTTTGTGATTTGGCCTCGTCCACCTCTCCAGCTTCACATCCTCATCTCCCTGCAGACACACTTTCCTTTTTGTTCCTCAAACTCCCTGCCTCCCTCCTACCTCAGGGCCTTTGCACATCCTCTTTGCCCGGAACTCCCTCCCCCAAGTCAATTCGTCTTGTCTGTTAGGTCCCCCCTCAAATGTCCCTTCTTCTTAGAAGCTTTTCTTAAACCCTGAGGAGGGGATGAATCCCTGGATCCCTTTTTTTCATGCTTTCAGAGCAAACTACCCCAGAAGTCCAGTGTGGATCACATCACTGAAGCTCATCTTTGTGTCCAGGGACTCACGCAGTGCCCAGTGCATAGTAGGCACGCAGTAAACCCTGGGAAAAGGAGGGGAGGAGCCAGGCCATTTTGCTTCCAAAGCTTAAGGTCAGACCATCCTCTAGTGGTTTTTAACTCTTTCTGTTAAGCAAAGGAAACCGATTTTCAATGTCTCACATGAAACTCCAATATACAGAACAGATAAAAGAGAAACTGCTGTTAAAAGTGGGAGCAGGGCGGGGGGCTGGGAGCCCTGCCCCTCTCCACCTGGTCCCTTAAGATGGAAGGTTCTGGGTTCCCTGACATGTTAAGATGGAGGTATGGGGGCAAGGAGCTGGATGTGGCTTTGCAGGCATGGGGATGGGTGCCCAGAATTAAGGGGTTTCCTTTAGCCCAAGGCGATCCTCTTAAACTTGCCTAATCAGACCATTAAGCCTATTAGGTAATTAACCCCTCAGGGTGCCTTTCCATCAATCATCCTGACACCACCCCCTCCCCGTCTGAAATTACTTTCTTCCCTGGGCTCACAGAGGTGGCCCTTTGCTTGCCCCGCCCCTCCACCTGACACAGAGATGGGGGCCAGTGCTCCATCTTTGGGAGGTTCAGAAAGATGGGGAGGGCGTTCTCACTAGAACTCTGTCCTCTTTCCTTCTTGACATCATTCTCCATCTTCCTCCATCCAGGGCCATCTGCTCCAAAGAAAACTGGTGACGCCCCCTGCCCCTGTTGTTCCCACTTCCTCAGGTTCTGCCCGAGAGTCTCCAAATGAAAGGGCAGAAACAGCCCTAGGCGGAATGCGAATTCTGTCACTGATGGGTTCCATGGCCTTGGATGCATCACCTCACCTCTTTGCGCCTCAGTTTTCTCATCTGTAAAATGGGGACAGGATAGCGCTACTTCCTAGGGTGACTATCATTAATTACATGATAAACTATAAAGTACTTAGGAGGGTCTTAGGCATGTAGAACACTTGAGAAATGTTAGATACCACCGCCATCATCATCACTATTATCAACGTTATGATTAATATCACCTATTTCATGAACACAGGTGAAGTTCTCATCACAGTGTCTGGCACATGGTAAGTGCACTATAAATGGGGAAATGTGTCTCTATGGTTTGGGGTTTTGTTGGGAAATAGGAGGAGGGGAGGCCCCACTTCCTCCATTACCTGTCCCCAGGCTTCTCCCTGCTTCTGGGAGGAGGGATGTCCTCTCACTGATAGAAACAAGACTCTGCTCCCACTCCTCACCCCCAGCATATCTCTAATTTTCTTCTTCCTCATGCCTCCTGCCTGAATCTGGCCCTTGTTGCAGCCTTCTGTACTAGTATTTCTTTTCTTCTTCTCCCCCTCTTCTCTCCTTTCCTCCAACAAATCCTTTCTGAGCACCTGCCTTGTTTTAGGTCCTGGGGACACAGCAGGGAACAAGACCGACAGTCCGTGCCCTTTAAGTCCACTCACTTTTAAAATGTAAATGCATCTATTTCAAGAGGACTCTTAAAATCACTGCTAAGAGTCAGAGTTTGAAGGGCTGGTTATATTTTTTCCTCCCAAAGTGCATTAATATAAAAAAAAGATCTAAAAAACAGTTTGTTCGTGCCCTTAAGTCATCTTGTGGGCACTTGGGGGTCCCTATATCAGCGTAGGGGAAGTTTGGAGGCCCATCCACAGGCCAGCATCCTATGGAGAGTGAGCAGCTGAGACCTCGCACCTGTAGAAGGTCAAGACTTTAAGTCCCAGGAGTCCCCACAGCGGCCAACAGTCTGCTCTGGGCCTCTTCAGAATCTTCTACATTCCAGGCCATGTGAGGCCCGCCTCCTCCAGGAAGAAACCAGGACTCTGTCAGTCTGCCTTGTAGCAAAGGGCAGACACATGACCTCAGCTGACCCCAGAGCCCCCAGCCCTCACGCTCTGCTTGTGAAAAAGTTCCCCCTTCTACCGAAGCAGAATCTAGACGCCAGAACTTTCCACCCATCCACCCCCGTCCCCTCTTCGCTCTTCCCCTGGGTCCAGGCAGCTCCCTCTACACACGACAGGGATGGAGGATGCCACCTTCGGCTCTCCTGGTTTCCCTCTGCTGCTATTTCAATATGACCTTGGAAAGGGGCTGTTTTTCTGTTTTCTAGTCATTCTGAGTCTCTGGTCTCCCCGTGCCTTTCTCTTCAGAAATGCTTACAAAGACTTTCAGAAAGTAACCAATACTCCCCCACCTCCATGAATAAAGTTTACCTACCCAGGAGATCTGGGATGCTGCGGTCAGAGTGAGGCTTTTTTGTCAGAGAGTTGACCCTGAAAGGTGGCTCAGATCTGGGAGGGTGGCCAGTCACAACAAAGGCAGGGCAGAAGTGCGAGTGACAGAGGTGTCCTTTGCGGGGACAATATATTTGGGGGGGAACCAGGGTTGCGGTGTATCCTCATGGAAGCTGCTCTTGTCTGGGGGCCGGGGTGGAAGTATCGGTGTGTTCTGTGGTGGTATGAGGCGGCTGGGGTGGGATGTGTGTATTGTCATTGGGAGCGTGTGTGGATGCTGTTAGGAAAAGACAAGAGATGGTGGGGGCGTGGTGTGGGAGTGGTACCACTGAGGAGGGTGGGACCTTAGGTGGGTGATGTCTTTCTGTGAATGACGGTGTTGCCTGTTCCTGAGAGAAATGTAATAACGTAACTGACATGGGCTCTGAAGGGATGAGATGCTGTGTGACGCTGACTTTGAGTCGGACTTTCTCTCCAAGTGAGAGAAAGGTGGATGGAATATGATTTCCTTGGGGCAAATCATCACTGGATAATCAAACAGGACTGTGACATTCTCCACAGCAATAATAACAATGATGATGATGATGGTGACTATTGTTTATGGAGCACTTAGTATCTGTCAGGCCTGATGCCGGGTGCTTCACACACACAATCTCATTTAACCCACACAACAGCCTAGAGAGGTAGGAGGTAGATCTTACGGTTCCCATTTTCCAGATGAGGAGACAGAGGCTCAGAGCAGGGACACCATTTGCCTGAGGGGACCACACCAAGCATGTGACAGTTATGAGATGTACCCTTGAAGGTCTCCCTCTTGGGCTCTTAACCTTGGTGAAACTGGCTTTGTGTGAAAGAGTGAGGATGTTGGGAGCAAGACTTGGCGGGAGGAAGCTGTGTTTGGGGTGTGAGGTGTGTGTGTGTGTGTGTCTGTGGTAGGGAGTTGCTGTTTCCATATACATGGGGGTGCCAGAGGTGGGAATACAGTCAAGAGTATGGAGGCCACTCCAGTGGCACCTTAAGAGTTATCACCTGTGCTCAAGGGGGACACTCCTTGTTACTGTCCCACCAGACTGGGATTATTTGTTTCTCTGATGTGTTCCTAACTAGAGCCTCCATCCAGCCTCTTCATCCAAGCCCCTCTGTCCTTAGTGCCCTACCTCCCTCTCAACGGCATCTACCTGCCAGTCACAGTGCCCAGAAGCAAATTTTAACAGCCACCATCTCCTCTCTCAGCCCCTAGGATGGGTAGACTGGCACCGTGGGCAAGAGCTCAATCTGTCCAGGCTGGCCCGACTTGCTGTGACACCCTTACCCCTCTGAGCCTCAGTTTCCTCATCTGAAAATGGGGTTCACAGTCGTGACTACCCCTACAATGGAACCAGCCTCCCAAGTTCAAATCACGCTCTGCCTCTTCTTAGCTGACCAACGGTGGGCAACTTAATTAACCTCTCTGTGCCTCAGTGTGTCACTTGTAAGATGGGTAACATAATAGGATTGTAAGGATTATTCAGTGATTGGTCAAGTGTTTTCCATAATACTTTCTGGTGCACTGTAGCACCATAAATGTTAACCATTGTTATATTAATTATTATTATTAATATTACATCATAGAGCGTTAGGAGAATTAAATGAAATACTGCGTGTAAGCCATTAAGCAATAATATTGGTAGCTACTATGACCATCCTCATTCTGGTTATTGTTATTTCCCCATTTGGCAGATGGTGACACAGAGGCTCAGAGAAGGGGTGAGGTGGACCCAGCAGCCAACAGACATGAAAGTGTTATTGGAAGGAGCCCTCAATTTTAAGATGAAAGTCCTGGACCCTTGCCCACGTCTGCCCCTGAGTCTTTCTGCAAACAGAGGACTGTTCTTCTGTATCTCTGGGCCTCAGTTTCCCCCTGGGTCAACAGGAGGGGAGGTGGAAGAGTCTGGAGGAGAGGGTCCCTAAGGGCTCACCCTGGTCTCCCCACTGCCGAAGAAGGCAAGACGCGCA